TTCACAAAGACTGTCTAATTACCATTGTCATTTTAATTTAGCACTCAGTTGTTAATGCTAGAATAGAACTTTACAATAGTGGAAAGAATGAAGAACTAGGAATGAAGAAATGAGGACTCTAGACCAAGCTCTGCCATTATCTAGTATAGATGCATGCCCTCAAATACATGCCTTTATCTCTGATTTCAGTTTCATCATCTATAAATTGAATTTGTCTAAAATCTAGTTTCCAATTGATCACTACAGTCCTTCTCTGACCAAACATATACGATTGCACAAAATAGATGCTGTATATACTAGTTACTCCCTTTTTCTAAAGAAAAGCAACACACCCCAAGGAGGATCTGAAACAACCCCTTAAAGTGGGAGAAAATATTAGCACTTTAATTTACTTTTATCTAAGATAAATAAAAGTTGACTAATATTTACTATATAGATTGAAAGTAGTATCTTCACAGAAAAGCAAATGATCCAGTGTCATGTGTTCTATGAGGTATGAGAAGGGAAGTGTGGCAGTTTCTCTACACAGAGAAATGGGTTGAGAGTGGCACCTACATTTCTCCATTCACTTGAAGCATCTTGCAATGCACTGTAATCTATTAGTACCCAGTTTAAACTTCTGAAACAACTACCATTCCAAGGTTAGAAAGAAATGATACATTTGGAAGTGTGATTATTTTTCTGGCCATGTTCCCTGATTACATGAGTTCTTACATGTTCCCTGATTACATGAGTTCTTAGTCCAGATATCTTCTAACTCTCCATCATAAACTATCCCACTTCCTTACATGACCCCAATATTTTCATCATAAAATTAATACTTAAAGGCTTTTAGATTCTACCACTCATTTACCAGTCTTAGCATCCAATACATGTCTTTTGTTTCTATATTCACTCACCATTATGGAATAACACTTCAAGTCATGAAAGTAGATATGAGAATTGATTTTTTATACTGCATTTTGCTGCCTATGTATCACCATGTGTAATGAGTATGTTTTCTTTAAATTCATTTTATAATCTAAATTACAATAAAATAGAAATAATCGATATGATTAGTCAACATGTGCTTAGTCAACAATATGTGCTCTTTTGGTACTTTGAGTTCCATTTTCTTTAACTTAATAATACTGAAAATTTTCCATACCTCTTTTTTCACAAATAAAACAATAAACCGGGCCATTCAGAAATCTGGAATTAGCATTTTAAAAGGTACTAAATTCTACTATCTACCCTATACTATGTTATCTTTCAAAAGTGATCTTTACTCTAGTTCCAAGGCAGTTTTAAAGTAAGTTCAACTTAAAATAAGTTCCTCTGAATTTTAGAAGGAATCCAACATGGACCAGTAGATATCACCCAAGATTAAATAGTATGAGATAGAAATATTTGTTATAAAAATATTCTTCTAGACGCCTCTTTCATGATAGGGTAATTTAAAAATTGTCAGATTACTTACTCCTAGAAACAAATTCAACACTAAATGTCAACAGAAAATTTGAAGTCATATGCAATATTCTAAATTCCTGGCTTCATACTTGTAAGATTAATTCCATCCTTACTGAAGTAATAACACCATCATTACTATTACATATAGTCTCCATATATACCCATCTCAAAAAGTTTATAATAATGATTAAGTATTTGAAGAGAAAACAGCAGCCTCTCGATAAGTTAAATGGAGCTCTATCCCTAGATTAGCTAGATTGTGAGGTCCACATAGACAGAGCTTTTGTCTGTCTTGTTCATTGCTGTTCTCCCTCACCAAGAACATGTTTGGCCAACAGTAGGCATTTAATAAATGAATGAATCATATGAACCGCTTGTTGTATTGCTTCAGACATAACGATCAGGTGCTATCAAAACCAGACTATAATTTTGTCCTAGAAGAGCTGAATGTCCTAAACCTTAGAGCGACTACGGCCTACAAATGCAATGACGCCTTGTCCAGCAAAAGGAATTTACCTCTGAGGCTCCCTAAAAAGGACTGAGAGGAAAAGGGACCATGTCAGAGCCTCCTCCACACAAACTCTGAATATATTTCTTATATATACACTAAATTAAGGTAAACCCTAGAGGCTTAAAAAGATTCTATTTCACCCTTTCACTTGAATCAGAATTAATACATTCACTCATTTGGCTTACTTGTCCATTCTCATGATTTCTCTTTCTGTCTTACTTCTCTATCTACCTACCTCTGACCGCTTCTGTCCCATATCCATTCTTGGCTTTTAATACCTTTCTAAATGACTTTCCAACCATACTGCAGAGTTTCCATAGCTATAACTAAACATCTCCCCTTCCACATCCACTGTACAGTGATTTCCAGTGTCCCATTTCCCCGCTTTTCCTTCTTAGCAGATAGTACTGGCAAGCCATCTTTCACAGAAGCCTGAGACCTAGAATTCATCTTAATGTCCATCAACAATGATAACAGCAGCTACTTTTTATAGAGCTCTTACTAAATATCAGGTAGCACAGGTCATTTCATTACCCACCACAAAACACAGGAGATAAGTACTATTTCCCTTCCCATTTTTCAGTTGAAGAAACTAAGGCTTATCATTTTCCCAAGATCATACAGCATGTAAATAGCAGGGCTGGGACCTACTGGACTATGTTTTAAAATACTATGTCATATTGCCTCTCACATAATTATTTGCAGCCATCTGATTAATTTTCTGAAACAGAGCCCCAAACTATTTCTTCCTTTCTCTTCCAAGCATAAAAATTCCAGTCCAGGATCTGATTATGATAAGCCTGGTTAATAATGTAATATAAAAAAAATACTGCTTTTTTTTTTGTGAACTAGTTTCAGAAGACCTATATTCTAGTTCTGGCTTCATCACGGTGTGACCCTTGACGTGTTATGCAAACTCCCCGTGCCTCAATTCTTCATTTTTAAAACTAAAATAATAAAATCTGCTTTACTCAACATGATTTTTTGAGAAGAAAAAAAGGCCATAAAAGCAATTAGGGAAAGTTGAAAATACTATTACAAGTATAAAAGTAGGCCAATAATTCAACATCCTTTCTAGCCTCTCAGGCTTATTTTTCTTATAATGAACTGCTAACATGATACTCTCTTGCCATTAAATTATGTAACTGTTTTGTACTGGCCATTATCCACAGGAAATGCAAACTTTCAACTCTTCAGAAATGTCCATTCAACTTACTGTAGACCATCTTTCCTAGCCGAACTTTTATTTTCTCTGCTCTTTTAAGCCACGAACTGATTGCCCACCCACCCTAGTAATGTCACCCTTTTCTAAAGTTCTCCAGTTAATCCTCATTTGGTCCTAACCCCTTTAACTATTCCCCACAAGTGACAATTCATACACTATATCAAACTGACTTCACCTTACTTTTCCAACTTCCAAACGCCTTCCCCATTTAAAAAAAGGGATTTTTCCCCTGTATCTTAATCTTCCCCAAATCTCCATTCCCCAATTCTTGTGTATAATCATCTCTCTCATTTAAAGAACAATACTTTCTGGTAGTCTTGATATCCTTTATTCTGAGTACCTACAGAATCCTGCTTTATCTATCTATCTATTCAAGTTTAGGACCAGAGACAAATGTTTTACTCTCGTTTTTGTAAAATAACTCTACCTTGATCTGTAAAGAAATCTCTCTGTTTTTAAGCAGGCATGCTAATTGGCATGCTTTCCTTTTTCCCCCCCTCTCTGACGGTGCCCCTGCCTTTTATTAGGCTCCATTCTTGGTGGTGACTCCTGCATTATTCTCATCTCCCTGCTCCCTCCCTGCCCAAGTCTGGCATCCTGAGGAGAACTGGGCATGCTCAGTAGCCACAGCCAATTCTGGGATGCAAACTGGAATCTTTTGCAGATTTTGAGCCCGGCAGGAGAGGTAAGGCCCTAAAAATACAGTGGCCCAGAATTTGCTCACCCCCACCCCGGGAATCATTTGATTGAAAGATGTTTTCAAAGCCTAGGAATGAACTTGGAAATGGACAGCTAGCTTGCTGCCAGTCCTTAGCTTGCAAGGTGGGTCACCAACCTGAGTAACAGAAAGCTGAGAACAGCCCCTTGGCCTGGTTTGGTGCAGAGAGATTTCTGTTGTCCTGAGCTGATAACCCTGATAGATGGCTGGAAGCTAACATTTGGCATCTCTGTTGCGTCAAGAAAACACTGTGGTTGTTGTTTTCTTTTTTCCTCTGAACACAGCAACATTAGCTGCTCTAGGCTGAGAAAGATGTTTCCTGAAGATCTACAAAGTCTGTGAGCCAGCCAGAGATCGTGGAGAGGAGAGGCAAATCAATTACTCACCCAAGAATCAGCTAGGGGGGCAGCTTACCCAAAGATAAACAGGCTATTTCCAAATAACAATTCAGGAACATTTCAGCTATTCAAATCTGAATCGTATGCCTGAACCCCTCTCCTCCAAAATGCATACCTTCTTTATATGTGAACCATGACACATTTTCCTTTGAGACTGACAGCACACACACACACACACACACACACACACACACTCTCACACACACACAGGATCCTTCTGTTCTCCTTTCCCCTCGTTTCTGCAGACTAAATCTCTAGAGCTACAACAGCAGCAGATTCCCTTACCTCACTGTAAGGGGGATTAGGCATGGGGAGGAAATTTATCACAGAAGGAACATGATAAAAAGGGGGCTGCTTTGCAGGGGCTTGACTGCATAGCCTAACAGAGAGACAGGCAGTAACAGACAGGGAAAGAGACACACAGCTGCCCCTGCTGCTAAACCTAGCCATCTCTTCAAACAGCAGCAAGCATGAGACATTTCATCACCGTAGTGCATCCATATTGAGGAGGAAAAAAAATCATGTGCTTTGCCTTATGCATTTTAGTCACCCGAGATGGGAGGAGACCCCTGTCCATATGTCGTGGGAGCTATCCACCACCCCAAAAGTACACTCGCTGAACCTAGCTAAGCAGATCGCTTGCCTGACAGGTTTTGCTGCAAACGCTGTTAATCTACGTGACAGCAGGTTGTCTCTTACCGTAGGCAGCAGCGGCTCCATTTGGGCTCCCTGGTCTTTAATCTCCATGTTTTGTAATGCCTCTGGAATAAGCACCCTTCTCTGCAGTGTCTTCAGTGTCTTACACTCAGCCCGGCACTCGCTCTGCTTAGTATTCGGATCAGGTAGCTCTGAAGCAGGAGGCAATTGCACACTCCAACTCACCAGAGTCACATGGCTCCTACTCACTCGGGCTGCTGGCCAGGTTTTGCACTGAATGCCTTGGATCCCTGGGCCGGTAAGAGAGATCTCCCAAGCCCTGTATCACTGCCCACACCTGGCTACTGGTATAAAGTACAGCCTGCAATGCTGCAAGTTTAATGGACATTAAGAATCACACCTAAGATGCTAACTTCTTATAAGAGATTAGTCCAAAGTGGACTCCAACCAGCTCAGCCAGATTTTGACACTCTGAGGCAATTCATTTCATCCCCAGAACCCCAAAGGAGAAAAAATTCAAACAAGATGACGTTAATAAGGTTTACTAGGTATCCTGTTCTGAGAACCCAGGATCTCTAAAAACATGATACAGCATCAAAATTATGTCTTAATGATATTGAACTACATGCACTAACAGAAAAATCAGCATTTAAGTCATTGTTGACTTAATAAGAGTTGGGTAGGCAAGTAATTTCAATATTTTAATTGTGACAAACAGATAAATAACACACTTTTACAAATAAAATACATTTTTCCAAACAAAAATAACAAGGGAAAAAAAGTATTTTGATAGTAGCAATGATCAAAATATTAAAGAACTTTGAAAAGAATATATCTGACAAGAGTTGCCCAAGGACATACCCTTTTGTTTTACAAATCTTAGCAAAAGAGAGGTAGGGGATTCTCTGTCTAATCCATGGAAGAAGAGGAGTCAATTTGAGAAGATCTTTTGTAGGAAACAGTTGATGATGGTTGTTGAGTGACTACACATATTTCCTAAAGTAATGAAGCCATGTATCACCGCCCCAGACTAGGAGTATGGAGGTTACAAATGAAGAGGGGTTAAAGAGGATGACTGAAAATTATTCAGATAGTTTATTTTAAATAAGAACAGTTTCACCAGATTTTAAAAACCCTTCATCAGCAGAAGTGAATATTAAATTGTTTTCAGCAACACACACAAATTTTCCACAATGCTCATCACAGATGGAATTATAGATAACTTTTATGTTTTCCTTCTCAATATAATTCCTTATAATATAAACTTCTATTATTCTTATGATAAGAACGTATTTTACTTTTTAAGCCATAATGATTAATATATCTGAGTGGCAACTTTCTGCACAGCACATTGAGATGTTTCCAAGGGCTTTAAATAATACGATACCTGACTAGGAATTTACAAATTTGGGATTGAACTTGACTTTCTACCATGGACTGATGAATAAAAGCTCCCTTGTCACTCAAATGACCATAATAGATAATCACAAACAATTGATTAGAATAAACATAACTTCACTTTAGAAGGATTGTTTCTACCTCATTAGGAGACCCTAAGTCACCCAGTTTATATTTGTTCAAAAAGAATTAAAATATAACTAGGAAAAAGTCTGATTCTTTATTCCAAGAGTCAAAATACAAATCAGATAGTATTTAAAGTTACTTTTAGTCAATATTTTCTTACAATGTTTTTTATTAAAGCCATACAGGTACTTTGTTGGAACAACCACTTCTTGAGTGCTTACTATATGCCAGAGTGACTGTTTCTACCAGTACAATAAGACTTATCCAGAGTTTCAACAGCAGATGTTCTACTTCTAAAGATCAAGAAAGCCCCTATCTCTAAAGGTCTCTGATCCAAGATGTTGAATGCTAGCCCAGCAATAACAAAGCAGAGAAAAAGAAAGTAATCTTCATTTAATCCACTACCTCTATCTTACAATTCCAGAGTTTAAAATTAATAAGGCCCATAACCTGAGGGAATATATCCACATACTAAACAAGCCTCAGGGAAGGAGATAAGTATTGATAAATTCTGGGAAGCAAATCATCACTAGGTAGTAGAATTTTTACTAGCAAAACCATAGAATTTAACAGGCCTTTGAAGATCAACATCTCTGCTAATTTTTCAAACTCAGGAGGTAAAAAGAACAGAAAGCAGGGAACAGAAAATCCCAATTGCAATAGCAGCTTTTTTTCAACTACATATTGTCTGCCTTGGAGATTCTGATATGTCCTTGTTGACAACTAGAAGAGGAAGTACCTGGGAATATAATTTTTTTTGAAGTATAGTTAATTTACAGTGTTGTGTTAGTTTCTGGTGTACAGCCAAGTGATTCAGTTATACATATATATATTCTTTTTCCGATTTTTTTCCATTACAGGTTATTTTCTGTTTTTATATGTATATCTGTTAATCCCAAACTCCTAATTTATCCTTCCCCCTCATTTCCCCTTTGGTAACCATAAATTTGTTTTCTGTATCTGTAAATCTGTTTCTTGAAAAATACTCCCAGGTAACTTTCATATTTCTCCAAGTCCAGAGCTCTTTCCACTATAGTCAAGTTTCCTGAACCCTAGGTAATTAAAAATGCATTCCTAATATACACAAAATGTTATGATAAATCAC